AAGGGATCTCATTGTCATATTACCGCCCCTTAATCTGTAAGTTTACACCCACGGCGCCGTTATTGTGTTTTCGCAAGCGACAACGGTGTACCAGCTCTAATGCCATGGTGAAAGTTTGAGCAAAACATGCTAACTATATTGCTAGAACAATATTTAGAGTCCCAGCCTCAGAGGAGACAAGAGAGAAGTGGATTTATTGATTTATTTAGGCTACTGTATATTGCTGCTGCCACACAGATCTAAAATAAACATGCAATTTATTTCCCAGCTGTTTACCTTCACAGACATAACCCACTGTTTTTGTAACTCGTGTGTTTTTAAGTTAAACTTAGTACTCAGATGCTGTGACAGCCGCTTTCTGTGCGTGTGCTTCGGATGTGTGCGCTCAGAAAACCTTATATCTGAAGTTTAAACTCATATGGTTTAAAACGCATGATTTCAGCGCAATAAACATGATCATCAGAACCAAAACAGATGTTTTTAGCAGATTTATCGGTGGGGAGCAGCAGCTCATTTGCATTTAAAGACACAGGCCCGAAAAAGAGCGTGTTTCTGCTTCCACTCAAAATAGGCATTTTCAAAATGATATAATAAATGATCTGTGGAGTATTTTGAGCTGAAACTTCACAGACACATTCTGGGAACACCAGAGACTTATATTACATATTGTAAAAAGGGGCATAATATGTCAACTTTAAGTCTAAAAGGATCTTCGCTAATTTTATCGTTTGTCAACCAGCTGCTGAAAAAAGTACATTCAAACTGAATTGGGGAATTACGGTAAATGCATTTAAAGTTTATTTTAATTTAGGTTCTATTTAGAAAACAGAGGAGAACTATCAAGCACTTTCTCAGTAACTTAGTTTACACATTAATTTTCTTTAAAGATGGTATCAACATTTAGTTCAAAACCCTTTTTTTTTGTTGTTAATTCTGTCCTTCAAACTAAAATTACATCATATCATATTTTTGTAATATTGCCTGAACAACAAGTGAATACAATCAAACCACACTGACAAACATTCAGACGAGTCAACTATAATGAAAATTGAAAAAGTGTTTTTCAACAAGTTGTGACATATTTAAATGGTTATGGTTAAAATGTATGCAATTTACTGTTGAAAAAATATGTTGGAGAAAACAATGGCATTATTTTGCTGTAGGCCTATGCTTCCTAGTAAAAAAGTAATATAGTTAAAATACCTTTATACTACATTTAAGTATATTTAAATTCTATTCATATTTACTGACAGATAACTTGAGGCTTATCATTATATTACTGCTATTATAAAGTTATAACAATTATAATTAAACTTTATTTGGAGTACTACTTGTGCACAATGCACATTTCTTAATATTAAGTCTAAAATGTGTTTTAATGTCACTTTTGATGAGAATCGTATGATCTTTGTATAATATCAGACTTTAAATGCAAGATATTTAAAGTGTACCTGAAGTATCCTTGCAATAGTTTCACTTTAACACAATCAAATATACAGTATATCTTTAGCTCTACTTCTGCACAATTAAAGTGCATTAAGTACAAAATTAGTTGTTCCAAATTAGCAGATTTTAACTAGGCTATACCAGTTTAGTATACTAAAAGTACAATTGCAGGGCATTTTATTAAGTACATAAATATTAAAATGTATTTGTAGAATACTTAGCATGAAAAAAAATGCATTTATGTATATTTAAATTGAAATATTTAAGTATATTTATTTTTTCAGTAGGGCTACCTTTTCCCCGTTCATTCATCTTTCATTCATTACAGATGTTTCAAGCCTAAAATAGGTTTTTTAATGCCAAGTTCCATTAAGACAGCTTAACCCATATTGTGATGTGACAACATACCCAGTTAATGGTTAATATTCAAGAGAATATCACAGAGATCTCCCCAACAAAACAATACAAATATGAAAATAATAACTTTTGCAACCATGCCACTGCACTGCATGACATGATGATGAATTAAATATGGGCTTGTCAGTAAACAAAGACGTATGTTGCGGGTTTAAAACTGAATTAGTGGAAGAGTCAGACTCAGAACAGATCCATTACCTCACAATATCATAGACTTCTTGTCTGCCTGCCCTGATACCATATCTCTCTATCTCTCTGTTTACATCTTCATTTGACCATACCGCTTCTGTCCAGCCCCACATCTCTCTCTCTCTCTCTGTGTGTGTGTGTGTGTGTGTTTGGTCACACTCCTGATCTTAATTGCACTGTACGCCAGACGTCATCCGCACCCGCCGCTCGTTAGATTCAGAGATTAATGTCTCCGCTCTGGACCCACAGCGAGACCTGATTTATTCCTTTGCACCAGTTACAAACAATCTCTCCAAGCAGCTCCAGTTTCCTTCAAATGTTTCTTATTCTTTTCACAAAGAAAGTCACTTGTTTAAAAATTATGCAAATGTAGGTTTGCTGCATGGTGAGTGAATCTCAGCTATGAATTTCTAGCGAAGCCGGCCTCGCGACTTAATTGGCGTTAAAGGGAAACTGGTTTTGTTTCAGCACATTGGCATTGTGCTGCTGTTTCAATTGTGCTCTGTGTAGCGAGACAGCCCCCTCCCGAGGAGCTCAAATAGAAATCTTTCTGACTGTCTGTTACTAAGAAAGTGTGACATGTTCACTTTCTGTGAAGGAGAAACAAAAGCCTTCAGTTGCCATGAGCGGAGGTCACTCAGCACGGCTCTTTCAGCCTAATGACATCTGTCCATTAGCATTTGATCAAGTCAATTAAAAAAACAAAACGTTAAACAAGCGAGCAAGAGAAATACGATGCAACAAATGAGCTCATCAGACGAGGGCGACAAAAAAGTCGAAATGTTTTGCTACGTGGCTCTGGCAGGAAGGGGCTTCAGGGCTGCAGACCTGAGCGTTACTGAGCCACCATTCAGGATGAACTGTTTATAGTCTCAGCTCTACCTACATACATCACCAGTGACAGAAAACAACAAGCACAGTACTGCAACTGTTCAATCAACGTCAATCATTATAACCAGATGCACACTGAACAAGTGCTTTCTTACTGCTTTTAAATGCATATTAATTGTAAAAGTCGAACAAATCAAGACCACCATTTAGTATTCCAATTGACTATGACTTTGCCTCAGCTTAGCCATTTTCATAACATAGCGTATTCAAAACACACATAATAGCCTATGTAGAATTATTCTGGAACACTATAAGCTTAAAACAAGTATTTTGCAATCAATCAATCAATAAATAAAGTACAATCTATTTTGAACATGCATATTGTAGAGTTTCAGTTTCAAGTTTATTTTCAGGACTATATGGCCTCTCAGTCCATAGATCCACAAGATCACAATGGCATGGCAGATACTCTTTTCTTCATTCTATGGTACATATACAATGCCAATCTCCATGCATACTCCAAATCACAAACATTTGACACATCAATACAGACATCACCAACAAGAACAAGATCACCTAAATATTTCTTACGCAAATCCACAAAGAGCAATCATACAAGAAATGCTTCTCATCTTCTATCACAAAAACATCTGATGTTAACTTACAGTAATTACAGATTCAATTAAATTCAATTCAAGTTTATTTGTATAGCGCTTTTTACGATACAAATCGTTGCAAAGCAGCTTTACAGAAAATTAAGTTTCTACAATATTTAGTAGTAGCTTATCAGTGGTGACTGTCATTTTATGTACATATGGCAGAAATTTACGGAAAAATCAAATAAAGACGTAATCAAACAGACGATGAACACTATTAACAGCAATTATTATATGATGCAATCAAACATATAGCAAAATGTGGTAGTTCTGTATGTTGTTTCAGGGTTGGCATCATCTGAGGTCCTCTGAGGGGTTGGCATCATCTCTTCTCAGGTGTTCTGGATCCAGACTGAAGCTTGTGTAAATCCTAGTTACCACGGGATTGACATAAAAACAAAGAAACAAATAAAGACATAATTAGCATAGCTGCTGTTCCAACCAAGCAAAATGTATTTGTTTAACCTAAGCAACAGAATAATAATGTGCATTTGATCAGATATAACTGCAGTACAATATTATAAGATGCATTATTTGAATGCTTGGCCAAAGAGATGTGTCTTTAATCTAGATTTAAACAGAGAGAGAGTGTCTGAACCCCGAACGGTATCAGGAAGGCTATTCCAGAGTTTGGGAGCCAAATGCGAAAAAGCTCTACCTCCTTTAGTGGACTTTGCTATCCTAGGTACTACCAAAAGTCCAGAGTTTTGCGACCTTAGGGAGCATGATGGATTGTAGCGTGGTAGAAGACTAGTTAGGTACGCAGGAGCTAACCCATTAAGGGCCTTATAGGCAAGTAATAATATTTTGTAACTGGTACGGAACTTAATAGGTAGCCAGTGCAGAGACTGTAAAATTGGGGTAATATGATTATATTTTCTTGACCTGGTAAGGACTCTAGCCGCTGCATTTTGGACTACCTGTAGCTTGTTTATTGAAGATGCAGGACAACCACCAAGCAGTGCATTACAATAGTCCAGTCTAGAGGTCATGAATGCATGAACTAGCTTTTCTGCATCAGAAACAGGTAACATGTTTCTTAACTTGGCAATGTTTCTAAAAGGGAAGGATGCTGTTTTTGTAACATGGGAAATATGATTTTCAAAAGACAAGTTGCTGTCTAATATAACACCCAGGGCTGCGTTTCCTGAAACCTTCTTAACGCTACGTCGTTCGTAAGTTATACCTTAAGTTGTACCTTTACGTTAATACATGTTTCCTGAAACGTTCTTAGTTAAGTACACCTTCTGTAAGTCATTCGTTCGTAAGGTTAGTCTGGACCACTCTTAGCTACACCTTATCGCTGTTCACAGTTCACTCTGCTAGTGGCCACACCCAGTGTTCAATTAGTGTTCAATAAATTGAAGTGTTTTTATGCAAGGAATAAAACTGTCATTATAACGATTACATAGCCTATATGCCTTTCGCCAGGCACGAAGTGATGGAGGCACATCAAGGCTTCCATGCCATTGTGGGTGTCCCGTGAGTAATTGGCCTTGTGGACGGGACACTTATCTCCATCGCCAACCCATCAGCGCTCGACCAGGCCTTCATAATATATATGAACATGATAATATAAATGACCCTTTCAAAAGCAAGCGAAGCCAAACAGCCAATTAATGTAGCTGGTTAAGGCAGAATACTTTTGGCCGTGAGGTTGCAGGTTCGCACACTTGCAAAATTATACATTATACATACATACACACAGTGTGTGTGTGTGTGTGTGTGTGTGTGATATCCAAGGCTGCATTTAGTTTGAAATTTTGATTATTTTAAAATGCAGTGAGCCCCGATAAATGCAATTTCTAATTTTTCTAAAGTGCTTCTTTATAATGAACATCGCTTTCTCAATACTTTACCTGCTCTATAACGCAGTGAAAGAGCTCTTGTATATAGTGAACAATCGATTCTCGAGCCATCGATATCAACCTATTCAGCACCACTGCCATGGACAGCACCAGCTAACGTCGCACGTAAGAAGGTTTACCTTAAGCAACATCCTAAAGTATAGTTCGGGGAACACAGCTAGGAAAGGTATACCCCTAGTTAAGGTGTATCTTTAGAGTCTTCGTAGCGCGCTAAGAGACACCGTTATCGGGAAACGCAGCCCAGATTTTTGACTGTAGAGGAAGTAACAGTACATCCATCTAGATGCAAATTGTAATCCAAGAGATTCTGTGTACTGTTTTTTGGTCTAATAAGTAATATCTCTGTCTTATCCGAATTTAATAGGAGAAAATTATTGGTCATCCAATCTTTTACATTTTTAACACATTCTGTTAGCTTAGATCATTTAGAAGTTTCATCTGGTCTCGTTGAGATATATAGTTGAGTATCATCACCATAACAGTGGAAACTAATCCCATATTTTCTAATAATATTACCAAGGGGCAACATGTACTGTTTATTGAAAATAGCAGATGACCTAGATTTCTGATGTTGTGCAATGCAAACCTGCAAGATCGAGCGGTCTTTGCAATGTGGTCTTTGAAGGTCAGCTGGTTATCAAAAGTTACACCAAGATTTCTGACCGAAGTTGATGGGGTAATTGTAGAAGAACCTAGCTGGATGGAAAAATCATACTGTAGAGTTGGGGTGGCAGGGAAGACAAGAAGCTCAGTCTTTGCCAGGTTGAGCTGTAAGTGATATTCTTTCATCCATGCCGAGATGTCTGCCAGGCAGCCTGAGATCCGTGCAGCTACCGTTGGATCATCTGGTTGAATATCAAATATCAACTAAGTCTGATATTATCTGACTGGATGGAATCATAGTCTGAAGCTCATCTTACACTACAAGACTTTCTGTGAAATCTGTCAATTCTGACTGCTCAAAATCTGCAGAATAAGCCAGACTGCAAATTGAGGCAACAATCTAGGCAAAAGTTGCATAGTGTATTCTGGCCTCACGAAAATTCTGCTTTAAAGCAAGACTCCAAGGTTAGAAAAAAAGTGTATGTGGTACGCAGGGAAAGAGACCAGATGCTGTTTTTAAAAATGGATTTCAATGGAGGAGAGGCTTCACTACGCTGAATAAACTGCTTTTGTGGGAAAACAGCTTATCATTTAATGAATCAGCAGCCAATCGGCTAATCTTCAGCATGTTTGCCATAAAACAATTGTATCGGATTGATCTATTTAAAAAAAAAATGCTGTTTTATAGAAAGGTCAAGAACAATTTTGCAACAGGTAGGATTCAGGTAATGGCAATTCTAATTTATTTCTATGATATCTGCAAACAGTAACAACTGTTGCACAACTCTGACAGAAATTCAGTGATGTCAAGGCTGTAATGCGATTGGTTATCAAGGCACATCCAGGTTGACCGTTACACTTTCTTCAGTTGTAGAGCTGCAGAGGTTGGTGTCTCCCAATAATAAGACCATCTTTATTTAAGATATGTGCTTTGTGTGCAGTTTCTATGCAGTGTTTTTTTTTGACTGTACCCCCTAGATATGACTCTGGCCTCTCCTTCAACATAATTAAGTCAATGGGATTTCTCAGAAAGTAGATCACTTAGAAAAGTCACACAAAGTCTAATATATAGGAAGTTTATAGGTTAGTAGGATTAGGGGGTTTGCAACAGTAATTATGATGCTTGTTTTATAATACCACTAATAATCTAAATATAGGTTAATATGATTGAATTCCAATTAAATTCTTCAATAAAGACCTTTTTCTTACATTGATCCTGTATAAGGTTAAATGTCATCTCAAGGATGATCTGGCTTAGAAATTGCAGCTGTGATAAAAACAGGTAGATCTTTAAATCTGAAGTAAATCTCAAGCAGGAGAAACACCTGTCTGAGGTAAAGAGAGGTGCGTGTGTGTTTGTGTATGTTCGCATAGCATGACGCTTTGCCACAAGCCCCTAGAGAACCTTGCTCTGTAACACACACACACACACAAACATCAGAGAGCTCAGGTTTACAGCCCAACCTGCCCACCTGATCCCCCCCACCGTAATCAGTCTTCTGTTGGCACACGCAATTAAAAGATGTCAAACCTGGTTTCTTTAACCGTGTTTTGGTTTGGCTTGTCAGCATGTCAAAGGGTATCTAAAGAAGGTCTCAATTAAGGCAGAATAAGAGAGCTCTGGAGAAGTGAGTTTGAGGAAAACTGTTGTCCCTCAGGCATGAGACGATGCACAAAGAGACAATGGTCCGGGAACACGATAAGGACAGCATGTCTGTCTCTCCCGCCCCCTGGGAATTCTGGGACTGAGACGCTGGGATTCCGAAGGAGAGGTATCAGGTTTGTAAGGCTGCTGCGGACGGCTGGGATGCGTTCCAAGGCCAGGGATACGGAGGCGCCACCAGGTAACGAGAGGCGCGGAGTTGACGTGCCAACAAGCGTAACCAGAGATCCAAAAACCCAGATTGAAACCTCCGATCAGTCCATCATAATTACAGAGGGAAACACTGCTGTCGCTGGAATATCCGACTCAACATATACAGTATCCAGAACTCTACTGCACAAAACACCTTCCTTTAGGAAAACTCCGGATCTATACTCACACGGTTTGTATAAACGGACAGGAAGCGTGTTTACAATAATAGAAGCCTAGCAGCCAAATGTTCCACTGGGTTTACAAGCAGAAATGTCAAGCTTGTGTTTTTGTTAAAACACTTACACGAGTTGTTCTTCAGTGAAACGGTTTATTTAAGCTGTTTAAATCATCATTTGTAATCAGGAATACCTGTCTAGGTGCAATAACCTCTGGTTATGCATCACCACTGTAATTCCTAGAGGTGGAAGTCACTTCATGTAAACAGCACTGTAAGTCACATCCTCTCCATGTCAACATCGCAGTGATGCCTCAGAAGAACCATTTTAAGTTCCCCGAAGAACTTTTCAGTGAACAGTTCTTAAAGAACCATTTTGTGTGAGTGAAGAACATTTTAATAAACTGAAGAAACTTCTCCATTATGAAGGACGTTTTGGGGAATGGAAAGGTTCTATGAATGTTAAAAAGGTTCTTCACTGAAACACATAGATGCCAATAAAGTTGTGGGAAGTCGTGGCCTAATGGTTAGAGAGTCGGACTCATAACCCAAAGGTTGTGGGTTCAAGCTGTACATTCTTGTGGGAATGTACAGCGCTCTCTCCCACCTTCAATACCACGACTGAGGTGCCCTTGAGCAAGGCACCGAACCCTCAACTGCTCCCCGGGCACTGCAGCATAAATGGCTGGGTGTGTGTTCACTGCTGTGTGTGTGCACTTAGGATGGGATAAATGCTAGTATTCCTAGTATGGGTCACCATACTTGGCCACATGTCACATCACTTTCACTAAAGAACCTTCATTTTTACAGCATGGATACTTACTATGAACATTTACAATCCAATTTATGGATGCATTTATAACTGTCTCAGTTTAGGGAAGCAAGGATCACAAAAGCTAAACCCTGCTAATCTCAAAAAAGAGGTGCAGACAGTGAGATTCCTGTAATCTAACCTCTAGAACTCGAAATCAGATCACTGACTGACAGCCATTCTGATGGTGATGATGATGGATCCTCTAGAATAAAACACAAAAGGCTCTGTCTGCAGTGTGCGTTAGCTCTGATGCCTGTGCTCGGCTCTCAGGGGCTCAGCGGTTTGAGTGACTGCAGTCGGGGGAAACCCTGCAATACAAGCACATATTACAGTTTACACAGCTCTCTGAGTGATGCCGCCAAGAACACAGTTATTTTCCCCAAAACACACATACTTAGACCGTCAGTTGCTTTAAGACATTTCACCTGTGATCGTTATGGACCGTGTACTAATGTAAGAACTTTAGTGGCGTATTTTATAACACACACTTAAAATATGACAAGCAGGCAAGTGGAAATAAATTGCTGTGGGTTAAATACAAAGTTTTGAATACATAGGAGCAAGAAATAAATTGTTGTGGAACCAAGATATTTAATAAAAAACCTGCTTAGGTCAGCTTAGACCACTTTAAAGTTCAAGATGGTCTTAACCAGTTTATATGGAAACTAGTAAAGTTAGTTAAGCTATTTATTGCAGCAATTAGCTATTTATAAAGTTAATTAAGCTATTTATTGCTACAGGAAAACCAGCCCAAGCAGTGTAGACAAGATGGGTGAAAGTGCTCAAATATTCTGGTCAATTACTCCTAAAAATAAAAGGTTAGAGGGGGTTCTTTGCAGCAGTTTGGTTCCTTAAAGAAAGTTTCAGTAAATATTATTCAAAGAACCA